TCTTTTTTTTTTTTTTTTTTTAAGTAAAAATTGAAATTCCACGAGAATAATTAAAACTGGTAGAGAATTAGAGGAAGTAGTAATACGTGATTTTAATTAATCCGGGCTGAAGCGACAGTACGTGCGTCAGAGTTTGACAAGTTCAGTATGGGAAAATTGAAAATTGAAATTTCCACGAGTCGGGGATTTAGAGCAACGGCAAGTTGAAGGAATGCACTATAGCGCTATACATGTACGACTTTAATTAATCGAACAACGCTACGGTATTTGTATCAGAATTTGACAAGTTTAGATGCTGAGGAAATTGAAGTTTGGTGAACTAAGTATCTACAGGTAGTTGCAAGTTTGTGAAACTCTCTGTCTACTGACAGTCGAGGACTGAAAGCAGCTCTAGAAGGACGAGGTTTAATTGAATAAAAGGAAACGTTTCTATTGCTCGATCTAATATATCAAATTAACATCAAATTTAATTTCATTAATTTCACTGATCACGGGAATTTCAAATATTAATCATAGGATTTAATATTAATTAATTTTAGAATCTCTATTCCAGTAGAATTTTAATTACGCGAAATTAATTATCACGAATTTTATATGAATTTTCTTTCTTCAATTCGTAATTCTAAATTCAATTCAACTCTTCAATACGAAAACTTAAACCAAACAGAAAAATTTCCCTGAAGCGTTCAGTTTAATTTAATTCAACCTTCTGATCCGAAAGTTTGAAATAAAAATTCAAACAGAAGAAATTTCTCCAAGTATCCAATGTTTCAACTCCTTCTGAAGTTTAATTTAATTCAACTCTCTTAATTCGAAAAACTCGGGACAAAGTTTCTATATAAAGTCCGAAGCAATTTCAAATATTCAATTTCGATTTAATTTGATTCAACCTTCAAAGCCAGAAAGGAAAACTTGAAATAATCCAAACGGAGAAAATTTGTCCGATTTTCTGACTTCCTCTCAATTCAATTTAATTCTAATTCGAGAACTCGAGACAAAGTTTCTTTGAAGCAGTTTCAAATATTAATTTAACTTGATTCAATCTTTTAAAATAAATACAAACAGAAAAATTTCTTCAAATCTTCTGACTTCCTTTTAATTCAATTTAATTTAACAATTCTAATTCGGAAACTCGAGTTTCTTCAAAAAAAAAAGATTCCTCTTTCGCGGTTCAATTTGAAAACTTGAAATCGACGCCTATTCCACCTAAGTGCAGCGAGTATTCTCTTGCGATTCGATAGCATCCACCGAACAGGAGTCTCGAAGTTCGAAACTGTGCCGATTCCTGAAAGCATTCATTCGCTTCGGCACGTGTCACGCTTCGGACAGCTCGACGATGTGAAGAGAGGGAGAGAGAGAGAGAGAGAGAGA